AGCAGGCAAAGAGGAGAGGTAAGTGATGCTGAGAAACTCATTCCAGCTTCTCAGAATTAATTTGTCTTTCAGGCAATCTCAACCTTCTTTGCAACCATGAGTGTTTACCTCATGAGTGTTAAACTCCTTCAAACACACACGTGCACCCTCCCACCCTGGCCCCAAAGGCCAGGTGAGCTCTAAGCCTACTAGGGGATGGGCATTTATTTGGGAAGGGAAGCCATGTTCATACCCCGCCACCCTCTTTCTCACTTCCTGCAGGCTCGTATGAACGGTCATCGTCAAGTCCACGTCTGTGACACTCAACACGGCCCAAGGAATCTGTGTCCCTCACCTGGGGAGAATGGTTTCTTTGTGTGCCTTTTCCAATCTTAATGAAGAAGTGGCCTCTTAGATCCCTTACGAAGAGCAAGGTCTTGCGCTAAGAAGCTGAGTTAAGGAAGAATGAGCGGACATCGGATACAGTACGACCCCCACGTCTTTCTAAGAAGTCCTAACCTTGGTGGCCCGGGGTGAACCAGGAAGGTCACAGATGCTCAGAGTAGAAGATGAAAGATCTAGACGGCATTCTGGAACGGTGACTTTGCCATTATTTGCCCAGGAGACTTTTCTGCAAGGAAGCCTGGAAAAAAGGCAACAGCTATCTATAAATTAAATTTTCTGCGATTAAATTAGTGAGAGGAGACGTGAGAACATGGCTAACTCCATCATGGAGGAAGTTGATTAGCCTTCAGAGTAAACTGGTTTTCCTCATCAGAAGTGCAAGTATAGACACTGCCGCACGGTAAGAACAAGAAAGACCCCAACAACCGTAACAACGGCAATCACAACGGTAAGTCTATAGCTCCAGAGCCACCAAGGTTTTTTTGTCCCTAAAGATGGGAAAAGAATGTGTGTAGGTGTAAAGAAGAGACAGGCAGTCAGAGAAAGCCAGATACAGAGAGAGAGAGAGAGAAAGGAGGGAAAGAGATGTAGGGTAGAGCGTACAAAAATGTACTGGAAATCGCCGCAGGGGCCTCAGGACCGCGAGGGCCGGGTCCTTGCTCCACAGAGGATGTGACTCTGTATCTCAGATTTTCTGAAACAATCTTCATTTAACGAGATGTCTTTGTTTTCGGTCAGGGCGATGCATTCAGCGGCCAACTAAATGCCATTTATTTTTTACGTCCTGCAAGACTCTTCACCTAAACAAGACTCACGGAGGAGAAGGAACCGATGTCAGGCTACGTGTCACCATTTCTGGCTCTGAAGGTGTAGCGGCCGCCAGGACGAACCGCAGGAGCCACCGGGCGTTGTGGTTTTCGACAAAACCCAACCCAGACCCGTGAACGTCCAGAACGAGGGACGTGCTGACAACACGGCACAACACAACAGGGACACCTCTTTGGACAGGGATCCGCCTCCAGGGTTCCCACCGTGACTAGGCGATGTCAGCATCAGTTGATGCCTTGGCCACTATTCCTTTTTTTTTTTTTTTCCACTATTCCTTTTTTTTCCTCTTCTTAAGCTGTTGTTTTTAAGTCATCTCTGCACCCAACGTGGGGCTCAAACTCGCAGCCCCAAGATCGAGAGGTGCCTGCTGTACGGATGGAGCCCTCCAATCCCAAGGGCGCACTGGCCCTGGGCAAAGACCCTCGGCCAGCCCAGAGGCAGGAGAGCGGGGGCCGGGGGTGAGGTCGCACGACGACGGCCTGGAGCTCTCCTTGGCTCCCGAGTGCCACGTAGCAGTCCAAGCGTTTGTCACGGAAGTGAGGGAGATACTTTTGTCTCAGCACCGAATCAACATGGTTTTTTGTGACTTAAAATAACAACGACAACTGGTCAGAGACGTAACAGCAACACTAATGGACACCAGTGTATGGTTAGAAAGGTCAAGCAGAAATTTCTAAAAGAATGGCCTGAACATCTATTCATTGCAAAACAAACAGATCTTTGGGCCTCTCATTAGGCAACTTGGGTGGAGTCTAGTTCTCTCTGGAGGTAATTAGGTTTTGACTTTTTTTTTTTCTTTGAGAGGGTCAGGGAATCTGGTGAGAATGCCAGAGCAGCTCCGGACCTGTGCTGTCGCGCTGGAAGCCACGGGCCACGTGCAGCTGTCGAGACAGAGCTGGAGGCTGGGGCTGCAGCCGGTCCAACGGGAGCCGGGCTGGGAGCGCGGACTCACGGTGGATTTGGAGGACTTAGTACGAAAGAGAATGTGAAGTATTTCATGAATACTTTTCACATGTTGAAACAAAAGGATTAAATATATCATTAGAATCCATTTCGCCTGTTCCTTTTTCCTTTTTAAAACACAGCCAAAATGAAAATAAAAAAATGTAGCCAGCAGAAAATGTAAAGTTTACGTGGGTGACTTGCGTTACATTTCAATCGGATAGCGCTGGTCTGGACACTCACTACGGAAAAATGCACATCTGTAAACACGCCTGAAGTCTGCATATACTTCTAGAGGGTTCCCAGCTCAGAATTTCCTCTTTGGGGTGGGTGAGGAGGTGAACAAGGCTATGGGAGAAGGTTTTTATTTCTCTTAAACTCTTCTATGCTGGTTAACTTTTTTTTTTTTTTTTTTTTTTTTTTTTTAGGCTACCAAAGCCACAGTTAAATCCTCCGGAAACAAACCTTTGGTAAATGGAGAGCCTCCAAGGGTCAGGGGTTTTGCAGCAGAGCCTCCTTGGGGTAAAGCCACAGGCCTCAGCGCCCCCCCGCCAACCCGGGGCCTCTCGTCATCCACGCAGCATGGGCCTCACCCCATAGGGGTTGCCACTAGCACGGCGTACATACGCAGGCGAGTCCTGCTTTACCTGGTCACTGGCAGGAAGAGAGGACACTCATCAAACGGACAAGTATTCGATCCAAAGGCATTTTCCCTCCCGGGTGTGGGATGCAATCTGTATTTCTCTTGCTCTTGAATCATCCTTCTGATTCCACCTGACGTCCGCGAGCACCGAAGTGCGTTTCAGGCGTTGCTGACTGAAGGAGTCCACGCCGGAACCCTACGCTGACCGAGGGAAGGCAACCCTTTGCGATGAAGTCTACACTGAGGACTGGGGTGCGAAGGTGTCCAGAGATCACAGACTCTGTGACAGACGGTGGGTTTAACACCAGGCTAGACAAAGCCACTCCTACTTGGACTTAAACCTTGAAGCATTTGGACACTCAGCCTCACAGGAGCGCAGGGGCCCAGAGGCCATTAGCGTGTTGCCTGTCAAGGAACTGCCTCCCTAGGGCATGAGGTCCGCTAGGGGGCACGGCCACCTGCAAGCACATGGCTCCCCCTGGCAGAGAGCTCGCTAGCGGCCCTCGGGTCAGAAGGGGCCTTGGCCACCATCTCGTTCAACTCCTTCATTTCACAGGTGGAGGCGACGGGGCCCGCCAGCCCTTGGCTCAGCCGGGACTCCTGCTTCTCCATTCGGTGGCGTCCTCGCTCCTCCCCGCCCGCCTTTGCACATTGTCCGGATTCCATTGCAGGAAGTGTCATCCCAGGGGGAGGCGACGTTCCCGAGGGTGGTGGGCATTTTCTCTGCCTCGCTGCCCACCCAGGGAGCATCCCACAGGAAACCGTTAAAGGTGCCGAGAAAGGGGCAACCAGTAGTCTGACATGCTCTCCCTTGACGTACGCCCCGTGTTTCCGAGGCCGCGGGGTCTACGACACAACCGAGCTCTTGTCTTTGGATGGGTCTTAGTGTAGTGAGGTGGCAAGGCCTCGTCGAAGACGGAAGTGGGTCCGCGAGGAAGGCTCTCCGTCTCGGCAACCCACGCGGCTGCACGGCCGTCTCCGGAGGACGAGGGGCCTCGTGGTTGTCCGGGGAAGCCACTCGCTGCCTCAGTCATCTCCGCATCGGGATAGTCTAAGTGTGTTACAAAATCGCCCACTGGAAAAATAGCGCATCTCCGTCATAGTTACAAAAAAAAGAATAAAAACGTAAGTAGTTTAAAAACGCCGGTGGGTTTCAGTATTGCCCTGCCGCGTCCTCTCCTGTCTCCCTTCTGTCTGTCTCCGCCGGGAGAAGCTTGGTTAGCCAAAGCCCTCGCCGACTTCTCGATCAAATTGTTCATCAAACCGCACGCCCCTCCTCACTCGCTGTCCTCGGTGAGCCCTGGGCAGGGGGCTGCTAAGGAGTCACCTAGGCCTTCCGGGCGGCCTGCCGCGTGTGGGCGGCGGGTGCCACCTAGGTGCTACACGGCCCCGCTGTGTCGGGCCCTGGGCTCAAGGAGGACCGGGTCTCCTCTGCAGCCTCCGTCTCCTGCGGAGGCCACTCGTGGAGGACACGGAAGACGGCTCTGGCCCGGGGAGACCAAGCTAACAGACACTGCGCTTTGGGGGAGAACACGTGGCTCTGGCCTTAAAGCCAGGCCTGCAGTGCCGGCTACAGTCCTACAGTCGCGACGGCGGTGCCAGGGGCCCGGAGGGGACCTCTGAGTGTGGCATTCCTGTCCAAGACCCGAAGTTCCAGGCAGAGTGATGCTTCCTTCTCACGTGGGCTGTCAGCAGGGCCTGGCAAGGGGGGCGGCGGGCTGCGGTGCCCAGGGTGGGCCACAGGCACGGCGGGGTCGGCGCCCGGGCCGGGGTCTCCGCAGCCAGGGTGCTTAGGATGCCCCCGCAGGAGCTCGGGTTCTTCCCGAGGGCCGGCCTGGAGTGGGGCGGGCGCCTCCCGGAGCCCCGCGCTTCGGGCCGTGGGTGGCCAGGCCTGGGCGCCCCTGGGTGCCACCCCCCAGGGAGGCCGGGCCCGATGGAAACGGCTCACGGCCTCTAACCCGAAGCTGCCAAGGAAACCGAACCACATTCCCCGAACGATGAAACAAGACCTGGAAACAGAGGAAGCAAGATGCAGAGGCCCGACCCGTGTCCCCTGTGCGCGTGTCGCGAGCTCCCGAGGCGCCAGCCCACGAGGGCCCAGGGGGGAAAGGCGGCCCCGACGGCCGGGCCCGGGAGGTCGTGCAGGCCGCGGGCCCGTCCATTCTCGAGGCACGCCTCCCTCCGTCCCCCGGGGCCCCTTCTCCGACGGTCACCGGCTCAGGATTTCGCCTCGTCGCAGTCTGGGTCGGTGGAGAGCTCCACGTCCGACAGCCCGACTTCCATTGCCATGATCAGCGAGATGTCAGAGTCGCTGCTGACAGCCGGCTCCGGCTCGCCTGCGGGGAGACAGCAAAGCTCACCGTGAGCGCTGGCCTCTGCCTCTGGGGCTAGGTCCTTTAATACGCCTGTCTTTAGTTTTGTATTTTTTATTTATTTTTTTACACCTGTCTTTAATAGCATTTCTTTGATGGCCATGAGAAGGTACTAGAGAAATTGGCTGTTTTGTAAAAAAAACAACAAAAAAACCCTAATTAGATCCTCATCTCATGCTATAGCACAAAAGAAATTCTAAATAGGTCAAAAAACAAGTATAGAAAAGAAACCAATATAGCTAGAAGAAGATGTATCTTAGAAGGCTATATCTAAGCAGGAAAATACCTAATATATCAAAGCAGGGCAAGAAATTCTACGTGGGAAAACAGCTGAGCAATTCACAGAACAGATCGGTAAGTGTGCATGAAACTAAAAAAATATTAAAAACATGAAAAATAAGATCAAAAGGCATACGTCAAGCTTGTGATATTCGTGCAAATTTCACAAAGGGGCTGTATTTTCAACATCAGTAAGAAAAACTACCCAGAAAAATGGGCACAGGTTGCTATTATACAATTCACAGAGCAGTATCGTATAAATGACCGATAACTATACGGTAAAAAAAGCTACTCTTTTTGGTTTTTTTTTAGGATTTTATTTATTTATTCATGAGGCACACACACACGCACACACAGAGGCAGAGAGACACAGGCAGAGGGAGAAGCAGGCTCCACGCAGGGAGCCCGATGCGGGACTTGATCTCGGGACCCCGGGGTCACAACCTTGGCCGAAGGCAGTGCTAAACCGCTGAGCCACCCGGGCTGCCCAAGCTACTCTCTCTTTTTTTTTTTTTAAATAAAATCTTCATTCTTTAAAAAAATGCAATAGTACGCTGAGGCAGGTACTTTGGTATACTGCATGTAGCACTGTGACATTTTCACTCAGTAATTTCATTTCCGGGGTGTATCATAGAGAAATAGAGATGCAAAAATATTCATGGAAGCATTATTCATAGCAGCAGAAGACCTCAAGTAACAAAGTCCAACAATATAGAATACTCGAGGAAAGCGTGTTGCTTTTAGAGCACAATCTTCTTGTCCTAGCAATTAAAGTGACATTTCCTTTTTTTTTTTTAAAAAATAAATTTATTTATTTATTTTTTTAAAAATTCAACATTTTTTTATTTTTTTATAATAAATTTATTTTTTATTGGTGTTCAATTTGCCAACATATAGAATAACACCCAGTGCTCATCCCGTCAAGTGCCCCTCTCTAAAGGGACATTTCCAAAGAGCTTGCAGTTACATAAGAAAATGCTCACAGCATTCTTTTACATGAAAACAAAAGGTGGAATTGGACCCCTGCCCCACACTTGACAACAAAATACATCCTAGGCTGGCGAATACCTGTACCTACACCTGCAGTTGTGACTACACCTGTACTCCGTCTATATCTGTCCCTGCACCTATAGCCCGGTTTTATTTTTTATTTTATTTTATTTTATTTTTTTTAAAGATTTTATTTATTTATTTATTCATGAGAGACACAGAAAGAGAGAGAGGCAGAGACACAGGCAGAGGGAGAAGCAGGCTCCATGCACTGGGAGCCCGACGTGGGACCCGATCCCGGGTCTCCAGGATCGCGCCCCGGGCCAAAGGCAGGCGCTAAACCGCTGCGCCACCCAGGGATCCCGATATAGCCCGGTTTTAATTGTGCATGTGCACTTCCTTCCCATTTATCCTCTTACCCAGAGCCGTCTGGTACTTTCAACCCCTGACTTTTGGGGAATTCTTTTTGCAAGTTGGGATGATTTTCCCTTCCCTTCCCTTATGGCTGCTTTGCGTTTGTTTTCTCCACAGGGCCACAGCTTGCTGTTGTGCAGGCTATGCTCAGCACCGCTCCAGAGAAAGCCTTCCCTTTGGAGTCTAGGTAAGCAGTGTCCACTAGATTTGGACAGTGCCCAACCTGCAGAGCTGGACATGGGAGCTCGGCTTTGTTTCTCAGATCCACTAAGTCCTTGGTCCTTCATCCATTTTTTTTTTCCAGCTGCCCAGCTCTTGTTATTGTCTCTTTTTTACCTTTTCCCTGTCCGTGTTTGGTCTACACCTTACAAAATCCGTTTGCTACAGTCTTTATGGGGTTTTAGGGGAGGCTGGACGTAGTCTCATGTGTTCAATCGACTCGGCGCTCTCCTAAAGCGTCACTTTTGCAATGAGAAATATATATAATTAAAATGATTTTCATGAGAATTGGGAACCTGTTTTACTTTATGAGACTGCATTCTAGTCTCAGCTATAGTGAGTGACTACACGTGTTGCTCTGTGTAAGTCCCTTTCTCCTTTAGGGTTAAAGTTGAATTGTCTATTAAACGATTCTGGGGACACCTGGGTGGCTCAGTGGTTGAGTGTCTGCCTTTGGCTCAGGGTGTGATCCTGGAGTCCTGGGATCAAGTCCCCAGGCTCCCCACAGGGAGCTTGCTTCTCCTTCTGTCTACGTCTCTGGCTTTTTGTGTGTCTTTCATGAATAAATAAAACATTAAAGAAAATGATTCTGGACTGGATATCTCAGGTCCTTTCTAGTTGTTACAGTTTGCACCTGTATATGTTGATGTCAAACTAGCACAGCGCCTCCTACATGCTGGTTTCTCAGCAAATATTCAATAAAATGACCACCGAGGAACAAAGTTGCCTTTTTGTGCACAACCCTTCAAATTATTTTTATTTAAAACATTCTTTTATTAATCAAAAGAGGGCTGTGTGTTATATATTTACTGCAAGTATATACCAAATGGGAGAATTCACTACCTTGAGGTGTAGTGAAAGCTGATTATACTTATTCCTGGAGATAAAAAATGAGGGTTATAGTATAGACCTATAATCTTTACTTTTTTTTTTTTTCATTTTGCAATGGTTCATGAACTAATTCAGCTCAAGGGCAGCCAACATTTTCAGCTCACAAGTACACTGTACGTCAACCAAGGAGCTCGTCATGGAGTGGTTTTATGACTCATAAATATCTAGTTTTTTTTTTTTTTTAAAGGCCACCCACACGAAGGGCTGAGTTAAGAGTTCTATAAAGATGCTCCATGTACCTGCGGTGGCAGCTCCTCACCTTCACTCCTGGCTTTTTAAGCCAATGGCCTCAGCAGATTTCATGATTGTCACTGTGGTGTTTTCTAAATTGGAACTTGTGAATCGAAAGACAGAAAGGCCCTGGGGACTGATAGGGCTACGGCCGCTGAATTCATGATGCTATTTTGGAAACTGTCTCGCCCAGCTCCGGGCAAAGCTGAATTCAAATCAATGAAATCGGATGCTTGCCAAAAAGTAGTTCAATTTTCATGATGTAGCAGTGCCTCAACCCTATCAGCTAATCATTTTCCATTTCAAAACTTAAAAAAAAAATGATCTGAAAACATTTGAAATTATTATTTTACTCTGTCCTGTGATTTTAATTGAACTTGGCTTGTTCCATAATTTTTAAAAGTGGGGTTTTTATATTTTCCTTTTTTAAGATTTTATTTATTTGACATTGAAAGAGAGCGCGAGTGCACACAGGAGTAGGGGGAGCGGCAGGCAGAAGGCGAGGGAGAAACAGCCTCCTGGCAGGGTGGGGCGGCCCCCCCTCCCCCCAGGAGGGGCCCAATCCCAGGACCCGGAGATCACGGCCTGAGGCCCATGGCAAATGCTTAACCTACTGAGCCAGCCAGGCGCCCCAGGGCTTTATCTTTTAATTAAGGCAGATGTTTTTCTTTGCCGCCACAATAATACAAATGAAACCACTGTCACTAAAACATTTAGAAGGTTCTCTGTAGGTGATACCAATTGGGGAGTGTAAAGTAGCTATTCACAATATAAAGGTTCACTGAACTGTTACCTCCTTCCCTGCAAAAGCTGATACAAAAGGAAGGCAGAAATACCATTGGCCTTTACTGAGTCCTCACAACACCCCTTTGATGGAGGTATCATGATTCCTGTCTTACAGATGAAAAAAAAATTACTCTCAGTCCATTGGATGCAGTGGTACCGTACCCACTTGACATACTTCCTTCTCTTGGTTTTCATGCATTGTAAAGACATCGAGAGGGCTGAAACGGAGTCACAGGATCCACTTAATATTTTAAAAGATCGCTCTTGCTGTTACGTGAAGAACAGGTCAGTAGGACAAAGAGGGGAGGGAATCTGGAGGAAGCTATTGCAGCAAAATAGATGAAATGTGATGGTGGCTTGGGGAGATACGGGGACACACCGGAGAAATATTGTAGAAGTAGGTGATCGGCTGCGCAAGGGTAGCCGGAGAGGAGAAAGTAGAGGATAACGCCCACATTTCTTGAGCAATACAGGTACCATGTACTCAGCAGGAAGATGAACTGGTGGGGAGAGATCAAGAGTCTGGTTTCAGAGACGTCTGGCTGGCTCAGCGGTTGAGCGTCTGCCTTGGGCTCAGGACGTGACCTGGGGATCCAGGGATCGAGTCCCGCTTTGGGCTCCCCGCATGGAGCCTGCTTCTCCCTCTGCCTGTGTCTCTGCCTCTCTCTCTCTCTCTGTGTCTCTCACGAATAAATAAAATCTTAAAAAAAAAGAGTCTGGTTTCACGTGCACCAGGTTGGAGACGCCGGTAAGACCTGCGAAAGGAGACGTGGGGTCGGCAGGTAGCTACAGGGATCTGGAAGACAATACATGATGTGAGAAGCTTCCCAAAGAGATTTGAAACCATAAGAGTGGATGAGGTTTTTCTAGGAAAAGATCATAGAGAAAACACGAGGGGCAGAGGTCCCTGGAACACGGAGACCCACGGCCAAAGGGTCCAACTCATGCTGCCAACACGACTTGTTTGGCCCATGCCATGTTTTCTTCTATTTAAAAGTCAGGATATTTTACATACAAACCGAGACTTGAGATTTATCTTGGAAACAGAGATCTCTGGCCGTATATGCCCAACTCCCGGAGCGGAATCCTTGAGGGCAGCAGGAAGGCTGCGCTGCTTAGCTTAGGGCAAAGACGCTCTGGGTCTGCGGCCCTGG